TCGAAGATTCCAAAGCTTCTTTGATGCACCACCATCTTCTCTGTTCTTTCTCCTCCCTTCTCTCTCTCTTTTTTTTTTTTTTTTTTACACAGGGTTTGACAAGGTTAAGGATCCCTAGCTTTATTGACAAGCTATTTACAGGTTAAGGATTCCTAACTTTATTGGCAAGCTAAGAGCTGTTACCTACATCAGCTCATTTGAAAGCATTTTTATTGTTATGAGACATACAAGTAGGGAACAGGATGAAGTTGGAGCCATCTGTGGGCCAGCATTTTCATTTGATCAACTGACTATCTCGTTGACATCATTATGCTGTACGAATGTGTTCCATACTCGAGTCATCCTGGGTATGTATGATCTCAGATGGAGTGATGTTCTGTAGAAGGGTACAGCCAGAGTGAAGTTGCTGCTTTCTGCCAGTCTTGTGGCATAAAAGCTTGTTTCACGCTGTCCTCAAAGTGGATCCAAGTGTGGTATTTTGACAATATTGGCCTTGTACATAACAGTAAGGCCCCCCCACATCCCTCCTATGTTGAAGGCTCTGCTGAAATGACAGATCTATCCAGGATGGGTCCAGGCGAGAGATGAGACGTCTTGCTCTGTTCTCTACTCTGTCAAGCAGTCACAGATGAGAGGGGGGGCAAGCAAACCAAGAAAGTGGAGCATACTCAAGGTGCGAGCGTACTTGTGCCTCGTACAGGATCTTGCAACCCCTACTGTCAAGCAGATGTGAGATACGGCAAAGTGCTGTAAGCTTCCTGGCTGCCTTGTTTGCAAGATTTACAACATGGTTCTTCATGGTTAGTTTGGAGTCAAATTTCACCCCAAGGATACAATTCTTCTCCAGGTGCACACCCTCCATTCATCCTTACTACTGCACCAGCATTACCATCATGGTGCCTAGAGACGATCATCATTTGCATTTTCTCAGGTGCAAATGTTACTTGCCATCTATTTCCCCAAGCTGATATAGCTCTCAGCTCGTGATTGATGTAGCTTAGAGCAGCTGGCATTTCTTCTCTTGGATAAGTGAATGTCAGTGTACAGTCGTCTGCATATGCATGTGATTCTGGTATGAGATGAAGAAGGTCGTTGAAGTAGACATTCCATAACAATGGACCCAGCACGCTTCCTTGCGGAACACTTGCCCCAATATAATGTCTTGCTGATTCCGTTCCATTGAGAACTACACTTAGAGATCTACCATGAAGGTAATCACTGAGGAGACATAGCATAGAGCCTGCAATTCCCAGTGCTTTAAGTTTTGCAAAGAGGCCCTGGTGCCACACCCGGTCAAAAGCGCCAGCAATGTCCAGTGCTCCTTTTCTCTCTTCTCCTCTCCTCCTCCTCTCTCCTCCTCCTCTCTCCTCCTCCTCTCTCTCTTCTCCTCCTCCTCCTCCTCTTCCCTTCCCTCCTCCTCTTCTTCTATCCTCCCTCCTCTCTCCTCCTCTCTTCCTGCCTCCTCCTCCTCTTCTCTCTCTCCTCTCCTCTTCCTCCTCTCCTCCTCCTCTTCCTCTCTCCTCCTCCTCTTCCTCTCTCTCCTCCTCCTCCTCTCTTCCTCTCCTCCTCTCCTCTCTTCTCTCTTCCTCCTCCTCTCCTCTCTCTCCTCCTCCTTCTCCTCTCTCCTCTCCTCTCCTCTCTCTCTCTCCTCTCCTCCTCCTCCTCCTCCTCTCTCCTCTCCTCTCCTCCTCCTCCTCTCCCTCCTCCTCCTCCTCTCCTCCTCCTCCTCCTCCTCCTCTTCTCTCCTCCTCCTCCTCCTCCTCACTCATCTCCTTCTCCCTTCCTTCTCTCTTTCATCCTCCTCTTTCTTCTCCTCTTCAGTTCCTGCTCCACCGTTATACTTGCTCCTGCCTCACAGGTTGCGTACCCAAGTCTCTGCCTCCATGTGCGTTTGCCATGCATACGCAATCTCCGGTGACCACTGCATCTGCTCCTCTCTGCCAGATGCATGGCCGTAAGTCACATATACAGTGATATCCTCAATGTGTACCCTGCCCGCATCTTAATGTTCATATTATGTGCATCAGCCTGTCAATCACAAGTATAATATCTGTGTATCATTATACAATAATTCATTAGGCACAACACTGAAATTATTGGACATACATAATTCACAGACATAACTGGAGGAAAAGCAAAGCTCTCAGAAAATGTAAACAAACCAGGTGGCACACGGTGATTATTAGAAAGTCAGGTGGGCGGAGCCATACAGAGAGTTTTGGTCCTAATTTGAAATGTCCGTATTTGCCGATTGCCATAAGGCCAAACACCGTAAAGCGGAACCCTGCTGCATGACATTTTTTGCAAATTATATAATACACTACAAATCAAAAACAAAATACAGTGGACCCTCAACCAACGGCATTAATCCATTCCAGAGAGCTTGCCGTTAGTCGAATTAATTTTCCCCATAAGAAATAATAGAAATAGAATTAATCCGTTCCAGACATCCAAAACTATTTAACAAATTTTTTTTAAATGAAATATACATTTACCTAGGCAAAAACCAATGGTACATGCAAAATAAACAATTAAGCCCTTAACCCTTTGACTGTTTCAGGCCCCTCTCTGAAACTGTCATTCTATGTCGTTCAATTTTTGAAAAAAAAAAAAAAAATCTTATGAAACGATAGAGAATCTTTTCCTGATGGTAATGACACCAAAAGTTCGAAATTTGGTCGAAAATTATGCTCCCACGAAGTTAGCAGTCTCGGCGACATATGCGTATTGGCGATTTCGCCGACTTTGAGCCCTATTTTCAGCCAATTCCATTGTTCCAGTTGACCAAACTCATAGCTATTTATTTAGAACTCCATTTTATCTATCAGCTGAGTACAAGAAACCTCCCATTTACTAATTTGGACTACCTAACATGGTGGTCAGAAATTGGCAATTTGGCCAATTTCACGCAAACTAAAAAGATGCCAATTTCAAAATAGGGTCCAGAATAAACAAGGTAGACATTCGTGGCACTAAAATAACATATGCTCTGTTCATTAGTCACATCTCTAGGCCCCTCTTATATTATTATTGCTTTCTATTTTGATTTTTTATTCATACAAAAAAATACAAAATTTACTGTTATGCAGACTACTGCATTATTGTAAAAATGGTATAAATAATATCAGTGCACTAGTGAAAGAATATTAGACTCCCCAGTTGACGTGCATTGGACGTGTGGTGTGATTTATTTACTCCTTAACATTGGTAAAAATCGAACATTTCCGCTACTTTGAGCTCAGTTTCAAGGTCGTTTTCATCGTCAAAGTAATGAAAATCATCTCTATTTCTGTAATATGTTTTCCATTTTATCACCCAAGACCATGAAAACGCGAATACAACGATAAATACTATACGAAAATGCACCTCAAAGTCGGCGTTTTATTCAAAAAAAAAAAAAAAAAAAAATAAAGGTTTTTTTTCTCATTATGCAATGTGTGCTGCAGGATTTTTTTTATGTGGTGCACACTGACCACACAGACCCACTCTCTCACATGTGGGCCTACCAGCTTTCTCCCGCTTGATTTGAAGCCGCTAGAATTATTGAGTATATATACGTCAGAAACATTGGCTTGTAAGACGTATTTATACGTCGAAAACAGTCAAAGGGTTAAATGGTCCAAACGTATACATACGTTTTTTCAACATCTGAAAGTATGTAAAAAATGTAATTCTTTGTTTTACATTTGAAAACGTGTAAAAAAACTTATCTACATTTTTTGTTATATTTGAAAATATGTAAGAAAAAGTAGATCTACTTTTGTAGCACTACGAATTTGAACATCGATCTGTTTCGACCATTTAAGGGTTAAATGCCACTTACCTGTATTATGGTGTTGGTGATGAGTGATGTGCCAGCAGCAGGGGAGATTGAGGTGTTTTATTGTTTGGAAGGGGAATCCCCTTCCATAAAGACTTGAGGTACCAAGTCCTTTGGTGGGGTTACCTCCCTTCTTGGTTGTTTAATGCCATTAGGACCAGCTTGAGAATCACTGGACCACCCTCTACCACCATCACAACCACTACCACCATCACAACCACTACCACCCTCTACCACCATCACAACCACTACCACCCTCTACCACCACCACTTTCGTATTTTTCAACAAACTTTTTCTTGAATTCTATCCTGTTTCTCACTTCCTTTACCAAAGGGCTGGCTCTAGAAGCTTTCTTGGGGCCCATGGTGGCTTATCTAGCAGTTACAAGCACTAAAAACACTTAAATAATCCAAGATATATGGCAGTTGCAAGTGGAACTGACCGCAACAATTGCACACTGAGTCTTGGAGAGGCTGGGCCCGCTCAGGTCGCGCTCCAGACGCATGGACACATCACAGACGAACGTCGTTGGTAGCTTTTTTCGCCGTCGATAGAGACATTTTTATGCCAAAAAGCGCAGTTAGACAAATTTGCCGTTACTTAATGCCACCGTTAGTTGAGGGTCCACTGTATATACAATTATAGTAAAACAAATAATTATGAGGTGTGGTACCCAGACGAGCTACCACACCTGATTCCTACAATAATTACTAATTTCCACCCTATATTAAGACTACAAATTTTTTAAAAAGTAATGAGTTTTTCTGTTGTGCATTTTACTCTTTTAGGTTAGTTCTATTGCCCTTTAAATAGGGTGATGTGAAAAACAATTTTTGGGCTATACAAGGGGGGGGGGGGGGGGGGCGGGGAAAGGAGAGAGAGAGAGAGAGGAGAGAAAAAAAAAAGGATTTGTTTACGTGGTAGCTGTGTTAAGGGGCCGCTGTACCTTCAGCTTTCACAGATGCTTGGAAGCGTTGATTTGATTTTAAATACATTCGGTAGCGTGGGAGCGCTTGGGGTTGGTTTTATAATGTTTCAAAATTTCCCTGGAAGATCCTGTCATTGCCTGTGATTTGCGGTTATATTATGGCACAAGATCATCGGGCCCATGTGGCGGTCACGCTTTTCAGCTCGTGTAGTGGATAACTGAATGTCAAAACAAGCCCAAAATTTTTTTTCTCAGTTTTTGTCAGTGATATCTAATCTATCACAAAGTTTGTAGTCTCTGTTGGCCAATGTATAGAACTGCAAAGAAAAACTTTAAATGGTGCAATTCTTCTCTAGTTTGTATTCAAACAAATGAAAAAAAAGATAATCAAATTTTAAAAAATGGCGGTCTAAATTCTGTTCATAACATGTTTTCACACAAAAAAGGTCAGTTTCACATTTATTTGTGTGAAATTTACTTTCAAAATACAATTTACTTTCGAGATTTTTAATTATCTTTTATAACCTCTGCATGTAGGCAGTTGTGTATTTACAAAGATGACACCAAAACCCCACAAAGTTTTAGTGTAAAAACACTTCAAAAGGGTTTTACCAGGGTTCCAACGGTACCTCATAGTAGTAGTTTTAGTTTGTAGTAGTAATAATAAAAATAATAATAATAATAATAATAAAAAATAATAAATAATATGGTAGTAGGTTGGTAGAAGAAAACCACCCAGGGAGGATCCCGTCCTCCCAAGTGGGGTTTTTAAAAAAAACCCGAATTGTTTTACATGATGGGTAGGATTGCGGTGTCTTTTGTCTGTCTAAAAAATATGCAAGTTACGGGCATGTTTGTATTCTACTTACACTTAGGTCACACTACACATAATTTCCGTTTATTTATCACATCATCGAGTTTTCTTTGATTTTATTTTAATAGTTCTTGGTCTTACTATTTTTCCTTTTTATCCATGGGGAAAGTGGAAAAAGAATCTTTCCTCCGTAAGCCAGGTGTTGTAAAAGTCAACAAAAATCCCGGGGAACAATGGCTAGAAACCCCCTTTTCCCGTAAAGATTACTAAAAAGAATAAGAAAAAAATTTAAAAGTGGGAATTGAACGTGCGTGGATTTTGTACGGATGATAAAAAAGAGAGATTGTAATGTTATAAATGAGAAGAAAATGGATGTCCTGTTTAAGTGAAACAAAGTAAGGGGGTGGGAGAGCTTCAAGGAGAGGAATAAACGGGTTTTAGGCAGGGTTTAAAATAGGTTGAGTAAGAAGGAGTAGCAATAAGTTGGGGGTAAGCTATGGCGGAAAAAAAGAGGGACTAAAATGAAAAAAATTAAAGGTTTTATTGGGGTAAAATAAAGATTGGTGTAAAAAAGGGGGTTTATAGTAAGCGTGTATGAAACTGGAGAAGAGAAAAGTGTAGAGGAGAGAGAGAGTTTGGGGAAATGTTAGAGTGCATGGGGATTTTGAATAAAAGTGTGGGAAAATTTGGTGGTTGGGGTTTTAAAAAGCTAAAGTGGGAAAAAAATGTTATGGGGGAAATTAGTGGTAAATTTGGGGTGCCGGGGGGTAAATGTAAATGGGGAGCCTTTAACGGCTTTGTGTAAAAAAGGAAATTTGGTAATAATTTATACATTTTTTATAAAAAAAAGAGGTAAATAAATTTACAAGGTATGATGTAGCACGTAATAAAAGTAGTTTGTTAGATTTGTTGGGTGAAATAAAAGGTTGAGGGTAGGCCCCCCGGATGTACATGTTTATAGGGGGCAATGTATATGGATCATTATTTAGTTGTAGCTACAGTTAGAGTAAGGGAAGAGGGGGAAAAGAGGAAGGTGGCAACAACAAGTAAAGGGAGGTAAAAGGTTAAAAACAAAGGGAGGAGGAAGTTCGGGGGGTTATAAGGATTTTGGGCAGAAAGGTGGGCTGTGCAAAGATGAGTAGGGGGGGGTTGAAGAGGGGGGGATATTTTAAAAATCCCCGTTTTTTAAAATGGGGGGCAGAAGTTTGTGGTTATAGGAGGGGGGGCAGGAGGAAAGGGAGTTTTTGGGAATGAAAAAGAAAAAGGGTGTGAAAAAGAAAAAAAGGTAGCTTACGAAGGTTTTTACAAAGCAGAAGTGTTTAAGAAGAGCGAGTACAGTGGACCCCCGCATACCGATGGCATACATAACGATTAAACCCCTTTCCACTTGTTTAATCGCAAAAATTTTGCCCGCATACCCCTTAAAAACCCCCTCACCGTTTTCGTCCGAGAGCATCCAAGTGCGCCCTCAGCCAGCCTAAATGTGCTGCGGTGGCATTTTTTACCCGCCCGCCCCCGCGGTAACATCCCAAACATACAATCGGTATTTCGTATTATTACAGTGTTTTCGGTGCTTTTTCTGGAAAATAAGTGCCTGGGCCCAAAAAAGCTTTGTGCCAACCCTACAGCAATAAGGGTGAGAATTCCAATAGAGATAAAAAGAGTCATTTATAAGTAGAAAATGGGGGTGGTATCGCCGACCGGTAGGTTGTACAAGAAACCCCAATCGACCATCGTACTATTGTGGGCACCAGAAAGGGAAAAAGGAAGTGTTCTTTTTCCAAAGGTTTAAATGTGTTTTCGAAAAAAGATCGCAAAAATGATGAAGATGTTGAGAGTCTTTTGGTGTGGTAAAAAGAAAAAAAGCTAGCAGGAGATAGCGTCTCTAAGCGATATAAAGGAAAAAGGCTAGGGAAGTTGCATGAGGATTTAAAAAAAAAAATGCCTGCAAAATGTGTGATGTGAGTGAATTTAAGGCCAGCAAAAAGGGTTTGGTTTGGAGATTTAAGAAGGGTAGTGGCATACATTGTGTATAAGATGGGAGGCTGCCAGTTCGGACCCAAAGGGTGAAAAGTATGTGTGATTCAAAAGTACATAGAGACTGAAGGACTTTAAACCTGAACAAGGTTTAATTGTGATGAAAAGGCCTGTTTTGGGGAAAATGCCAAGCAGGACCTACATTTTACTCAGGGGGAAAGGCCTCCAGGGGCATAAGCTATGAAAGACAGGTTACTTTTTTGATGGTTCCAAAGCTACTGGTGATTGCAAAGTTAAGCCTTTATTTGGTACACTTGAAACTCCCAGAGCGTTCAGGCAAAAAAATGTCCTCAAGGAGAAATTTTTTGTGTGCGTGGGGGCAAACGTAAAGGCAGGGCACTTTAAAAATTTTTTTATGACTGGTTACACCATGCATTTTCCCCCAATGTGAAAAATTACCTAACTGAAAAGAAATTAGAACTTAAGTGCTCTGGTGTTGAAATGCCCCCGGTCAACCCACAGACGGGAGGCGATTTATGGGGACTTTAAAATTTATTTAAACAAGTTTTTGCCTCCCAATACCATCCTCTCCTGCAGCCCCTGGACCGATTTTTTGCAAAATTCAAAAAAGTACCAAAAGCTTGTTTTAAAGGGGCTTTTTAGTGACCCCAGAAAAATCAACTGACTCGAAGGGTTTTGGAGGAGCACTTTAATATCCCCAAATGTGTAAAAACCCATAGGTAAAGGGTTGGGAGGGGGGGGACTAAGAAGCCTTGAACTTGTTGGAAGAAAAAGTGGCCCGGAAAGTGTAGCAAAAGGGGTTTTGAAGGGTTTTTAGGCTAACCCGAGAGGATTATGCAGTTGGGGAATCCATTTTGTGGATTTGGGAAAAATCCTTGGGGTTGGAGGTTAGTGGGGAGGTGTGGAAAAGTTGGGGGGGGAGGACAATGAAGAACTAACCATGTGAGCTGATAGATCAACTTAACACAAGAGGCCCGACCCGAGGAAAAAATGGTTCAGAGGAGGGGAAGGGAAATTGAAGAGTTGCCTATTACAAGATTAAGGGAAAAGTTTGCAAAGGGCTTGAAGTGAAACACTTTAGGGAATATAAAAAAAGAGAGGTCAGGCCACTATGGAAGATATGTTGTGCGAAAGAAGTCCCGGACTCTGAAATGGTCCCAGTGGCATTAAAAAAAGAAGGGAAAATAACCCCAGAAAGGGGCTGACACCTCAAGTCTTAATGGAAGGGGGGTTCCCCTTCAAAAAAAAACTAACATCTCTTCCCCCCCTCCATCCCATCAATCATACCAGATCTTAAATAAAAATAATGCCATGTAAGTGTGATGCCTTTTTTGTTTGTGTGTACGTATTAAAATTAAAAATTTCATGTGGTTTTAAAAAAAATTTTTTTTTTATACTTTTGGGTGTCTTGCCGGATTTTTTGATTTGATTTTTTTTAGGGGAAAATTTATTGATACCGATTTTTTCGCATAACAATGACCCCTCTTGCACGGATTAAAACGGTATGCGGGGGGCCCCCCTGTATATGGAGGTAAAAGAAAGGTGAGAAGTGGTGAGAGAGTGCAAAAGGGGCAGATGAAAGAGTGGGGAGGCATGTCAAGAAATTTTAATGAAAATAAGAAAAAAATTTTGGAGTGAGTTAAGCAAGTTAAGAAAGCCTGGGGGAAAGTATGGATTTGTCAGTTAAAAACAGAGTAGGGGAGTTATTAGATGGGGAGAGGGAGGTATTAGGTAGATGGCGAGAATATTTTGAGGAACTTTTAAATGTTTAGGAAGAAAGGGAGGCAGTAATTTCATGCACTGGCCAGGGAGGTATACCATCTTTTAGGAGTGAGAAGAGGAGAATGTAAGTGTGGTGGAGGTTACATGAGGCATTACGTAGAATGAAAGGGGTAAAGCAGCTGGAACTGATGGGATCATGACAGAAATGTTTAAAGCAGGGGGGGATATAGTGTTGGAGTGGTTGGTACTTTTGTTTAATAAATGTATGAAAGAGGGGAAGGTACCTAGGGATTGGAGGAGAGCATGTATAGTCCCTTTACATAAAGGGAAAGGGGACAAAAGAGATTGTAAAAATTATAGAGGAATAAGTTTACTGAGTATACCAGGAAAAGTACACGGTAGGGTTATAATTGAAAAAATTAGAGGTAAGACAGAATGTAGGATTGCGGATGAGCAGGGAGGCTTCAGAGTGGGTAGGGGATGTGTAGATCAAGTGTTTACATTGAAGCATATATGTGAACAGTATTTAGATAAAGGTAGGGAAGTTTTTATTGCATTTATGGATTTAGAAAAGGCATATGATAGAGTGGATAGAGGAGCAATGTGGCAGATGTTTCAAGTATATGGAATAGGTGGTAAGTTACTAAATGCTGTAAAGAGCTTTTATGAGGATAGTGAGGCTCAGGTTAGGGTATGTAGAAGAGAGGGAGAATACTTCCCGGTTTAAAAGTAGGTCTTAGACAGGGATGTGTAATGTCACCATGGTTGTTTAATATATTTATA